TGGAAAAGGATCTAAATATGGCTAAACAATTCATTATGTATACAAATGATGCAGTCGAAGCCACATTTTCTGATGGTATGAAAATTTTTCTCGCACCATGTGCTACTGAATATGTAGTTCAACAAGGCAATCATACACAAGGTAAATTCAATTTCTTTTCTTTTTTCTTATTCTATTATCTCATGTTTGAACAGGTCTTATGACAACAAAACACCGTACAATATATACAACAAGTACATTATTACCTCATATTCGGTCTGTTTTAATATTTCGTAATTTATATGCTCAACAACCATTTCTTGTTCCAGCACTTGTTGATTCTAATCAATGTTATGCAAGTTTATTTATTTTTATGAATTTTTTTTTCAAATATCTCTTCTTTTCTTAGCAATCAGCAGGTACTGCTACACATGTTCGTTGGTCTCCAAATGTTTCTCTTCCAACTATTTCTAATAATGATCCAACTCAAACATGGTCATGGACATCTCTATGTGGTCGAGCTCGAATTGATATTCCTCAATGTCGACAAATTATTTATATAACACATCCTTTACAAGTTTCACGTATTTTAACAAAACAAGAAAACGATATAGATATTCCAACAAAATATATTCATATATTTGCACCTGTTCGTCGATGTTTTTCATGTCAAAAATTACCTGATTATCTTTGTCAATTTGTTCATAAATGTCTTCAACTTATTGAACAATTATCAAATAATCAAACTTTATTTGATATTGAAGATGATAATGAAAATGAATGGAGTTTTAAGTTACCGTTACCATTACCAAGTTCATCATGTTCAAAAGCTCATCGTCATCGTTTACATCATGAAATGATGTTTGAAGCTGATATACATATTTTACAAACAACAACAGTTACATATAAATTAGAATACGAAAATCTAGCAAGTATAGAAGCATTTGTTATTGATGAAAATAATGAACATTTAATTGACTATGTTATTACTTCTAATATTCAATCAAGTTTTTATAATTATTATTCTATCAAAGATAAGGTATATTATCGATTCTAAGTGTTGAAATAAAGAAAATTACACATAAATTCAATATGATTGGAATATAAGAAACTCAGCTGTAGAAAAATTACTTTACTAAAAAATCTCTAGTTAAGAATGTACTGTTATGAAAGTTTTATAAGAAAATAGAGTTATGTCATATGCTCAAAAAAATTGGTGATATATTGGCGGATTAAAATTATTGAGGTAGAAAAGATGGGTGACTCTCTATCGATCATGAACACATTCAAGTAAACAACATTTAGATTGATTCCTTCTTCTAAAAAGTTGAAATTTCACAAAATTGAATATATAATTATTTTTGTATAATGGCTCTCCTCATAAACCGATCGAATATTTCGCTTTTTTAACTAGTTTTCAACGCAATATTTCCGGGATAAAAATAAATGAAGATCCATAAGACCATATTTTATACAGAAACGTATACTAAGAATTTCCAAGTTTATTTGATACGAACTTCAATAATGTTAGTGAGATTATCTGTAAGATTAATATTGTAAATATAGAAGAGATTGATGTATATGACAAGGATGAAAATATATTCGATTTTAATACGCCACACAACTTCCTAGATACATGTATTTTCATTTCTTTTAATAATCTAATATGAAAAGAAGAATACACTGTTCGATACAGCTCAGTATTACTTAATAAGATCAGGTTGGTTTTCCACTTTCAATTTTCGAACACATCATATTGAAATAGAAATTTTGTTTTATTCATTTAAAATTTCAATGATTTTATGTTTTTTCTCACTGTTTTAAAAAGCAATGTCATTTATTAACATTATCTGAGCATGCCTTACCACCTCACAATGAACGACTAGTACAAATAATACGTTTCATGTCTACAATGCGTCAAAGACTACTTAGTATGACTCGACGTGTTCAAGAACGACCATGTTGGATGCAAGAAGATGTTGCATTAGATAACAATATTAACGATAATATTGAACAGTTGGTAAATTAAAAACTATTTTTTACTAGAAAAGAATTGTGATTTTTCTTTTTTTGCTGATAGAAATTGCCATCATTAGAAAATGAAATTGATGATAATGATAATATTTTACGACAAACATCTATCGCTGGTGTTGGACATTTCAAATATTTCCATGATAATCATGTTCAGATAAAATTTTCTAATGATTTTATTCTTAATATGACTTCTGAACAAGTCCATTCTTGTCAGGTATGACTAACAAAATTTCATAATTCTGAAACTCTATTTGCACGATTTATATTTTTTGTTTCATTAGATGAATCCATATGTTGATTTTCAATGTCGAATAACAGATAAGAAAAAACAAACAACTATTGATATTTTCGACGGTATAACTCAACCCGGTTGCTACGAACAGTAAGTAGACAAATAAACAATAATTTCAAGTTAACGTTGTTTTTCCTATAGATATATTACAGCTGCCATTGATTGGTGTATGTGGATATGGAATGAAAAAAGAATTGAAGATCAACGTAATTTAGCTAATGATATTCAAGAAGAACTATTTCGTTTAAAACTTTATAGAAATAGAATTGAAATAAAAGAATATCAACAATCAACAACAATAAATACACCAATAAAAAATCAAGTAGATTACTATTCACCAGATGATATTAAACAAATACTTGATCGAACAGCAAAATTTACCAGAACACATTCATCTTGATGCTTTTTTTTCTTTTATTGCCTTAATAGAATTGTCTAATAAAAATGTTCAGTTTGCTGAATATTTTCGAATGAATTCATTAAAAAATTTATTTCGCTTTTAACATTGCGGAACATTATGTACATAAGAATACACAAAAGGTTGATGAACTGGTGTTATTTAGAACCAAAATTAAATATACGAACAAGATCAGCTGAGTTTTCACTGTTGAGTTGAATGGTTTGGTGCGTTTGATCATTCATTTTATCGTCTTCAAAAAATAAATAGCATAAGACAAATGACAAGTAATATTCACGAGTATTTTCTTATTCTATATTTAGATAGTCAAAGACGAACTATCTATAGTTCTATATTCTTAGCTTCTCAGTCCAAGATATGATCGACATAGCTAATTTATTTTTCGAGAATAATTCGATCGTTATTTGACAGGTTTCAAGTGAACAATTTATAAAATATGATATTTTATTCATGTTTCATGAGTATCTATAATATTATTGTGAATGTGGATGTGAACTGTACAGCAAAGCCGAACATTGTTAGATATCCTTCAATCATGTCGAAAGTCATGTCGAATGTTAATACGAAACTATAATTTCTGCGCCAACATATGTTCGAAAAAGCATGCACCAGAATAGACTACTTCTTGCTCTTACTCTTTTATCGCAAACAAATACTTTCACACGAATGTGAAATAAGCATCCAATTCAAGTAGCTCCATCTTAATTTCTCTGCAGAAGTCCTTATCACGATTTTATCCATCTTTCAAACATACTTCAACCACTTCTGCTTACAAATGTTATGAAACTTTCGACAGCTTGAAGCATAGTAGCGGAAATTGTGATGTGTTAGTATCATGTCTTTTACCGTTATTCAATACTGTAAAAATGTTCATACAACATTTGTTCCAAAAGTTGTCTTACTAAATCATATTTGTACATATGTAAGAGTCTAAATAGAATATGATTTGTTCTTTTGATAAACTCAAAGATATCAAGATGTACAACGTAAGGAAAGTTAGCAGCGGATTCGAGTATTCCTTGCTGACATTTGCTCATAGACTTGGGTTGGGTCTAAAAATACTTGGGCTGGATGCAGAATTAAATTCTGAATCGAATGGTCATATTTGCAAGGCGCGGGGGGGTCGTCAAGCAAAACCTAGAGGTTTTGCCCGAAATACTAGCATTTTGGGTCCCACCAGTTAGTAACCCTTGCTGACATTCGCTCATGGACTTGGGTTGCATGTAAAAATACATGGCCTGAATGCAGAATTAAATTCTGAATCGAATGGTTATATGTGCATGTGGGGTCGTCGAGCAAAAACTAGGGGTTTTGCCCGAAATACTAGCATTTTGGGTCCCACCAGTTAGTAACCCTTGCTGACATTCGCTCATAGACTTGGGTTGGGTCTAAAAATACTTAGGCTTGATGCAGAATTGAATTCTGAATCGTACGGGCATAGTGTCAGGCTAGGTGGGGGTGGGGCTAACGAAGTGAAAAATAGTTGGTTGAGGTGAAATATTGAGTTTTGAACCTAATGTTAATGATCTTTTTGTTGATTGTGAAAATGTTTCTCTTTCCAGAGTAATTTCACCGTCTTCATCATTAATTAATCTCAATGTATCACCAGCTAAACCTAGAATCATCTCAAAATACTTAGGGTTATCCAAAAGTAGTGTGCCAGGTTCTTTTTTTTCTTATAAATAGCTAAAACGAAATTTCTTTTTTTACGAATAGATAGAGCGTCTTTCGCTCTATCTTTCTATGCTATTTGATCAGTATCTAACTAAGATCATAGTAATAAAATTCCGACAAAAACATTTTTAGTGCAACTCTAGCTGGTAGCAATAGTGCATAAAATCATCTACACGTGTTTTTTTTNACGTTGGATTCGAACTATTTTTTGAAATTATGTTCGCACAATGCCGTTTTAAGTATTACAAGCATTTAGGAAGAAGTGAAATTTAGATTCAAAAATTTAATAAAAATTTTTCATCGAAGTTGTTGTTTTCTAGAAATTTATTCATAAGTCTTAAAATTTTACTAAAATCTACCAAATGACAATGGTGCCAAATAAATTGGCATTGTATGAACATAACTCCAAAAAACCAATTCGAATTCAACGTCTATCTAAAGAGTAATTGATATTTTAGTGAACAGAATTGCGTCGATCCGAGATTGGACGCGTCCAATGTCGGATCCGACATTCGCCTAGGCCAATCTGAGATTGGACGTAATCTCAGTTTGGACGCTGACATATATATATGCATCATAAGAAAAGTGTCAGTCAAAATCAATATGCATCAGTATAAGATTAATCTTCTTGATCTACCTACTGAAGTATTACATATCATTTTAAAAAAGCTTGATAGCATGGATGTTCTTTATTCATTATTTGCTATTAATAATCAACGACTTGACAACATAATACAAGAAAATACTTTCACTAATACTCTCAATTTTGTATTAATAACAGCAACCGATGATATTTTATCAGTTTGTGATCGCGTACTCGATCGATTCTGCTTGAATTTATTACCAAAAATTCATAATAATGTTAAATCCCTTATTCTTAATTCATTATCTATGGAACATATTCTTCTTGCTGGTGATTATCCTAATTTAAGTGAACTTAAAATCTTCAATTTTAATATTAAAATAGCTTTACATTATTTTACAGGTAAATAATTTGTATACTAATCTAAATAATGATTTCGGTAAACTAGGTAATATCTATTTTTTATTTAGCTGAATCTCCATTTCGACATATTTTTCAACGACAAATCACAGATCTTATTCTTGTATTTGAAAATAAATTTAATAAATTATCATGTACACATTATATGACATGTTTATGGATATATAATGAAATACTTCGGAAATCTACATCATTTATCTATTCAAGGATCATACCCTAGATATTTTCCACCTTTAGAACTTTGTGATTTACCTTTAACTACTTGTTACTCTTCAAATCTTTGCAAATTATCTATTCGTGTATTGTATTATCATGATCTTCTTGCTTTACTTGATGGTCGTCTCAAACAACTAAATACATTGAATGTTGTCATTGTCCAACAGGAATATAATCCAACGAATGTTTACAACGTGGTACGTTTAAATTTCATTAGATTAATCTTTTTTTTTCATGAGCTGTTTAATGAAAATTTTCATGATTTAACTAAAGCAAATAGTCTCATTTGTCGGATGGAGAAATATTAAAATAAATAAAATACTAATACAACTTGTTTTCATTTATATTTTCTAGAATCTATCTCATTTGAAATGTTTTTCTTTACAATATGATTGTTCATATGATGCATATGATGGTGAAATTTTGCCTCTTTTACAACGTATGTCAAATATTGAAGTATTAAACTTAAATCTTATTATTGGTAGTCCAGCTCGATTTATTGATGGTAAAAATATTTATGATGAAATTCTTATTCATATGCCACGACTTCATACATTTAACTTTTGTTTTTTAATTTTTTCTCAATTAAATCATTCAGCTCAATATTTATATAAAGATGATATTCTACAAACTTTTACTAACATTATAGTTAAACAAGTGGAGTGTATGATCAAGTATCGACGTTATAATGGTTTGAAATATCTTTTATTCTCATTACCATTTATGTTTGATAATCTTCAATGTATTGGTAATGGATTTTCAAATATTATTTTCAATCATGTTATAAGATTAGTGGTTGATGATGACATTCCATTCGAACATGAATTTTTCATGCGTGTTGCTTGTTGTTTTCCTTTACTTAAAGTATTAACTATTTCTAATTCTATGCCACAGTCACCAATATTAAATTCTTATGATAATCAGTTACATTCAACAACTATTGAATATCCTTATCTTACTTCACTTTGTTTTTCATTGGCTCATTGTGATTATGTCGAACAATTTCTTAATGATAAAAAAACACATCTACCACGTCTAACTGTATTGTCAGTAAATTACTATCATTTAAGAAACGTAACGAAAAACTTTACAAATGATAGAACCCGACTAAATTGTATGAAAGTGAAAGAATTACATATAGGTCGTAAAAAGATTGTATATTCAAAAGATTTCCATACTTATTTTCCTTTGTTGTAACTTTATCTTTTTTTGATTAGCTTAATAAAAAAGAATAATGAAAATATATTAGTAAAATTTTTGCAATTGAACCATATTAAACAACAATCATTAATTACATATGCTGATTAACTCTGGAGGTTTTCTTTTTTCTGGAAAAAATGTTCTCAAACGGTCAAGAGTGAAACAACGAGGAAGAAAAAATTTAGATATACTCGGTATTTTATCATCATTTGTAAGATTCAATGATATTACTCGGTCAATAATTTTAGGAAAATATTCTTGACATATAAATGTCAAAATAAGAGTTGCTGCCAATTCCAAAATGTAAGAAAAGAAAGTTGTCAAAACGAAAATTGGGTTCAGAAAAAGCAAATCAAACTTAAAAGCATGCAAATATTCAAATTAATGAATAGCTTGTTGGTTAATATTTCGAAAGTAATTTTAGTAGTTTTTTTTATACATGGGAGAATTATATTAGCAATTCTTTTTGTTTATTGAAAAGAAAAAATTAATGTCCATATACGACAAAATAAAATATATAACATAAACAAATAACTAACTACCACCATAAATATATATCAGAGTTAATAAATTCAATAAAATAATTTCTACATAAATTTTGAAATTTAATTAACATATCTAATTCTCGTAAATACATTTTAGGTATTTCTTTAATACATAAAAAGAACAATTGATTTGTTTTCATATTAGTTTTTGATAATAAAAATGTTAAAATTTGTTTAATTTCTTTTTTATTCATTCCAGTTTGAAGATATTGTAATTGAGGAAATAAATTAACTAGCATTTTAATTTCTTCCAATGTACATGTTTCACGAATATCTAAACGTTTGGCTTTGTTTATATTTGATAAATGAAGAAATTCTTCCTTTTGTTGAATTGATGTTGCCGTATTTTGACGAAAACATATCAAATCATAAAATCATTAGGTAGAGCAGTAGGTAATAATGAAGAGAGAATTGAGTAGATAACTGCTACGAAGTACATTAGAATTTTATCAAAATTCAAGGTTATATTTTTATTTCAAGCTTTCGGTGAACACTATCACCATTGTCAGGAAAAAGATAAGGGTGTGGGTGTGGGGTGTGGGTGTGGGTGTGGGTTGGTGTGGGTGGGGGTGGGTGTGGATGTGGGTGTGTGGGTGTGAGTGTAGGTGCGGGTGTGGTTGTGTATATAGCTCTTGATCAGCACACACCCACACCCACACTCACCCACACCCTCAAGCTCCACAGCCTTTACTCATGAGTCTAAGTACGTATACAGAAAAAATGCGTCGCAAGTTTTATTATTTTTCCGCACTGACGTTTTTTACACAAAAGTTCCAATCATATCAAATAAAACTTGGAACATTCCTCTATCCAACAGAAAAACAAATTTGAAGTTTAGTTAACAAATGACACAAATATTCCTGTTTTATTTTCCCCTGTGGACTTTTGGAATATCCTGTAGTATGACCTGCAATTTTCAGGCTAAATTTCTACGCGTTCACAGCTTGAGTACACAAATAAATTATTTGTAATTATTGCTAGTTTGCTAGATAAAAACATTTTATTCTTACTCGGATCTGGAATATGATCGACAATCAAATGCTCACATACACATTTTTTTTCATTGTTTAATACTGTCGTTAAAATGAATTCATTGTTTTTCCAGTCATACATATCATCCAAGTAAATATTGCATGGTGGTTCTTTTAAACTCCACCGACATTTTCTACACGACGATAACATTGAGTACTATTAATCTACAATCTAACAAAAGAAATTAAACTTTTCTTGATAAGATAAATCGTTATGAATATAATATTTTTCTATGAGTTAATAGAAATAAAAAAATCTCTATTGATTGGTTGATCTACTGAATAATGAATCGAAGGCCTCTCTTACTGGTTATTTCTAATCTAAATGCACTGTGTAAAGATCTTTTTCTAATTAAGTTGTTATTTAAGATTTATATATATTCAGAACCAGTGAGGCATAAATAATTCTTGTGAAAAATATTATGCTCGCCATTTTTAGAAAAATTGATAGATGTCGCTCTTTGCTTATTTCGTTTGATAGAAGGTTTTCATGGGAACATCATAAAAATGCCTCTATCTTGCGATATACTCACTATAAAAAATGCCTTGTGTCTTACAAGACTCTTGAAGTGTCTTGCCTAAATGTCTTAATTTTTTAGAGTGTAGTTGAATTTTGCTGTTGTCATCTTTCTTTTCCTGTTATCAATTGGTTAACTAGTCAGTTGTGTGACCGATTCGTCTATGGTCTGATGAAACGAACCATGCAATTTTCCAGTTTCGTGAGAGTCAGAATGATTGCATAAAAATTTCTTAGAAAATCAATCTGATTTTTCTGACTTTGAAAATGTTTCAACCATATTCGGCTAAAAGCAGCTTTCTCGAGATATTTGCAAAGGTAACGCCATCTATGGTACATTTGAGTTAATACATCGAGAGTAATGCTTTAGTCGAATACTGCTCAAACATTTTTAAAGTTAGAAAAAGCAGACGGATTTTCTAGGAAATTCTTATTTAATCATTTTGAGTTCCGCGAAATTCGAAAATTGCAAGCTCTGTTTCATCAGACCATAAACCAACATGAGATAAAGAGAACGAAGGGATGGTTTTAATCAATTGATACTCATATTCATCGTCACTTTTTCACTCAGACGATCACTACACTGTACCTGTATGGCAACAAAATCGGATGCATAGGCGCACAGCATCTCGCAGAAGCAATGAAAAATAACAAACAGAAATTTATTGATTTTCTGCATGTTTTTTTCTCATGTTTACTTTTTCTTTTCTTTTAAAGACACTGCAGTATTTATATCTCGTGGATAATAACGTCTCTGCTAATGTGAAAACTCATTTGACAAAACAAGATAGTCGTATAAAATTTACTTGGTAGTGATTTTTTTTTGTTTGAATGAAATAAAATGAACTTTGATTGATTGATATAGTGCGTGGATGGATGTTACTTTGGATATGGGTAGGTGTAGGTAGATGGGTGTCGGGTGTGAAAGTGAGGGCAGTGAATCGCATGACTCTCATGATCAGTGTTTGGAATGAAAATNAAAAAAACACGTGTAGATGATTTTATGCACTATTGCTACCAGCTAGAGTTGCACTAAAAATGTTTTTGTCGGAATTTTATTACTATGATCTTAGTTAGATACTGATCAAATAGCATAGAAAGATAGAGCGAAAGACGCTCTATCTATTCGTAAAAAAAGAAATTTCGTTTTAGCTATTTATAAGAAAAAAAAGAACCTGGCCCACTACTTTTGGATAACCCTAAGTACACGATTAAAACATTAAAATGTTTAAAAAAAGAAGAAAAATCATTTAAAAAATTATTTATTTTTTGTTAGCAAATGGGATGATCTATGTGGGACATATTGTCTGTTATGACATAAGCCAATAGGCTTCGCTCTCTCGATAATTCATATTTTGGTTATTTTAGTAATGATGATTGTTATTTACTGAACATCAATATCAATAGATATGATGTTATGTTCAAGTTTTAGACGGTCATGTCGAAAATAATGACTTTTAATTTGATAAAGTTGAACAGAAGTTTAGATGAAATGCATTTTTCCATGGAGAAGCATCTGCTTATTATGTAGGTTGAACTGTTGACGCTTCAGAAAATCATGAACGGTTAGCCCGTACAATATGACCGTTAGCTAAGCGTTCCAGTCGATTTAATAGAATGTATTATGGAGTCAGTGGTACGATTCTTTTTTTTTTCAGTTTACGATTTTGGTTTTAATGGATGTATCGAAAAGATTATGTAGGTTGGGCAGTTGAAGACTTTTTTATAGTGCAATTTGTCATGTAATGTGTTCGACTTCAAACGATAATCACTGTATTTACTAGATGAAAAGATGACAAAAAGGAAACAAGACCTTCGAAGATTTTCGTGTTAATGCCAAAAGCTAGCCATACAAAAGGGCTCTATTGAATCGTGACAATATAAAGAATGTGCCGTCCTGGTGATGAGTTAAGTCTTGTAGTAGCCTTGAATATGAACAAAATGCTGCACACGAGTAATTCGCCGTGTTCGTGCTGTAAGAATAAGAAAGTATTGCTGCAAGACCATTTTTGCTTTGATTTGATGGCTTTTATTAGTACACTTGGAATTTCGTTTTTGCTCATTTCGGCTTTAGGATTCATTCTCATTCGTTCGATAGTCGGCACATCTTTGCAAAAACTGTAAAGCTTTTGACCTCTAAATATATCTGTTGCATAGGCTAGTTGAATTGATGCTGAAATGGCGCCAATATTGTTTCACAGAATTCTATTCTATTAGAAAAAAAATACACGAAAAACAAGATATATACACTCTGAAGATGGAAAAGCAGATGAATTATATGAGAATGTGGTTTTAGATATACGCAGAGGTGCAGAATCTACCAGTAAATTGAAAAATTTCTTACAACAATGCAAAACTGTTCACAAAATTTCCGCTATTGTCAAAATAAGAATATTGTCTTATGTTTAATGTATAGGTATTCAACAATGTCAAGGGGAAACAAAGCTATTACGCATTCCAAATAAGGCTACTAAAAGAATAAATTAGTTTCATTAGTCATTGAATAATTCTGATAACCTGGATATTTGTTTATTTCAGAAATGATTTATCGCAACTATGCAAGAGCATGCAAATTTTCATGTCTAGTATTATTAGTTTTCCTTCGAAAATAACACTAGTCGCTTTAAGTCGTGATGGAATTGTGAAAGTTGAGGTGATAAGTTGAAGGCAAGGATGAGAATGATGAGTTAGATAGAGAATAGGTTTCAAGTTTAGGGTGATAGTGAGAAGGGTAACAAGCTGAGCTAAATCCTTACCTTGTCTTTAGTGGTCCCACTATCGTTTGTGACAAGCAGCCTACTCATGTTTATTAGAAAAACAAAACAAAGGTTCACCTTAACAGTGACAAAAACAAACGAAATGCTTGAATACAGTGCACATTTGGAAGACATAAGTAAATCAAACAAAATGTGATATGGACCATATATATAATATACTCATGGGTAAAATGAATAAAAGAGAAAGCAGTTCAACTATTCTCTATTGAATTGTAAATCATAAAACTTATATACGAACTTCATATCAGAATTGCTACTAAAGAAATTTTGATTGGTTAATTTTCCACATTGAAAATGTTCCTATAGCTAATAAATTTCCAAAAATTATCTCATGTGTGTGAATGCACTCGGGTAGATTCTACACATCTGAATATGTGACTCATAAAAAGGTTCGTCTTGTTATTTAGGTGCTTGAAATAAAAAATGGGCCGTCACAGAGATATTCAGCTTTGATTTAGAACTGATCTAGTTTGACTCAAGTAGTTTCTGATTAAAATGTTCGATTCGTTGAAAAGTCATGCTTCGGTATTTTTTCTGAGCTCTCTTTTTTCCCAAATCTCCTCAGCATTCATAGCTTAAAGTTTTTTCTTATGATTTTATCATATTTTAATCAACTCTCAGTTTGTTTGCTTATAATTGAGCCAAAGTGGTTCGATGGAGTTACACAATAATATCTGCTAACTTCAAATTTCATTTCCGTCAAAAATTAAATCTTTCAGTTTACGACAATTGCACTCACCTTGAGCATTTGCTCGATGCTCTTATTAGCGGTCAAGTTATACTTGTTTTGTCATAGTCGTTGGATTTAGGTGAGTATTTCATAACAAATATCTTGATAAAAAGTTGCAATTCGTTTAGTGCAATTGTGGTACATACGCTTTTAAGTATGATATCAAAATTTTCAAGTTATTATG